TCCCTACATACATCTTTAAAGTGGGATACTACATTTTAAAGACTTTTTGTATTTATAATGTACTACGTAAAAATTTTATGACTACAAAAGTGATGCATGTACATTATAAAAATTCAAACAATATAGAAATACTGAAAATATAAAGTGCCTCACAATACCATATTCAAGAGAAGCAAGCATTGTTAGTAATTTGGTATATATGTATACATACTAACTGTCTGATACCTATGTAGTGAAATCATTGTATTTACATAAAAGAAAATATACAAAGTAGAATTGAGGTCTCTGTATTATTTTGTTTAATTATAAATATATTCTCTTTGATGAATGGATAATATTCCTTTATAAGGATGTTCCATTAATTATCTTTATAATCCTTTATTGATGATCACTTGTTTTAGGATGTTTTTGAAATTTATACTTCAGCTGCCATTTTTCCCCCTGCCATTTATACCTATATTCTTGGCTAAACCCTCTAGGTGCACACACACAAAAAAGTCTTGTCGTCTGGGTGACTGACATTTGTCTTGAATATTTGTGGTAAAATTTTTAAGTTGATTCTTCACATATGTTAAAAAGTCATTTCTGACTAGTATAATAATAAACATGACACACTGCTTCCTAGAGGTGCTGAGAGCAATAAATTAGCTGACATTTAAAAATGCTTTCAAGCTGAAAAGTACTAAGTATTATTTTAACAATGGCCGAAGAAGACATGATTAAGTACAGCTCTATCTCAGAAGTTTATCAGGCTGTGATGAACGGTTTTCCACTATTTAATGCTAGAATACTTTAACAGCGGCCCATACACTAAGGTGTGAAAAAAGTCCATCAGCAAACATACATTTAGTGCCTGTGTCTGATATAGTGAGGGACTCTGGAAGGAATAGCACTTGAGTGTCTATCCCTGGGGAGTTAAACCTCCTGAAAATTACACTGTGAACTTTGTTTTTGTGTCATCTTTTTAACCTAAACCCAGGAATGACTGAGTTGTGCCTAGATACAAAAATGGTTTAACCATCTTAATGGATGATCAACTTCTAACTCCTTGGTAAATGGTATGTGTGACCACACACACCCATTTTACTTTTATTCTAATTTTTTTCTCCAACCAGTTTACAGGCCTGGTTTAGTAATATCTTCCTTACCAAGATATTAAAGGATAATAGAGATTATGAAATTTCCCGGGAGAATTTGCATTTTGAAAAACTCTAGGTCTCTGAATAAACAGAATACTGCAACGGTTATCTGCCTAATGCCTAACGCCTATGACGTGTTAGCCCTGAAAAGTTAGTCACTACCTTCTCAATGCACAACAGTATTTGTAACTCTAGAATCAAGCGTATTACAGTGCAATTATCTGCTTACATATCTGACAGTTTCACATTTACCTGTATTCTCAGTGCCTTAAATGAAGTGGACATTCAGTAAACATTTGTTTAATTATGGGAGGGTGCAGTGAGTAGGTGATTGTTGAGGAAACAAGTGTGGTCAGAACAAATACTACGGCCCAGCACTAACTGCTCTTCCTTTATTACCAGGTGCACAAACTATAAAGATCAGTACACAAATGGCTGGTATATCTGGTAAGGACATCCTCAATTTGTGTTATAAAACCTTTAGTGGTATATGACACTCCTTTTGCTAAATAATTGAGATAGAATATGAAATCATAGAGCATAAGAAAACTTTAGGGACCATGTGGATCAACAAAAACACCACTTTCAGGTTGTTGGCCAGTGTTTACTTAAACACTTCTATGACAGGGAGCTTACTTTTTTTTTTTTGCGGTACGCGGGCCTCTCACTGCCGTGGCCTCTCCCGTTGCGGAGCACAGGCTCCGGACGCGCAGGCTCAGCGGCCATGGCTCACGGGCCCAGCCGCTCTGTGGCATGTGGGATCTTCCCGGACCGGGTCACGAACCAGTGTCCCCTGCATCGGCAGGCGGACTCTCAACCACTGCGCCACCAGGGAAGCCCGGGAACTTACTATTTTTAAGAATAATAGTTTATTCCCAAGTTGGATTTTTTTTTGTTTTTTTTGTTTGTTTGTTTGTTTTGCGGTACGTGGGCCTCTCACTGCTGTGGCCTCTCCCGTTGCGGACGCGTAGGCTCAGCGGCCATGGCTCGCGGGCCTAGTTGTTCCGCGGCATGTGGGATCTTCCCAGACTGGGGAACGAACCCGTGTTCCCTGCATCGGCAGGCGGACTCTCAACCACTGTGCCACCAGGGAAGCCCCTTTGTGTTGTAACATTAGTAAGGATAATGATTAAATCATTATTTAACCGTTAAGATAGGATAGTTTGGGAAATACTATTGTAAATAAAAGAAAATGCATCATACTCTTAGCATAGTACGGTTCTTGCTATATAGTAATAATGCTAATACTATTATCACTACTAATAATAGTGACAATCAATTTTAATTGTGCGTCAGACTTTGTTTTAAGCACTTTACATTCATTTAGCCTTGTTTTTATAGATGTAGATACCATCACTAGATTTTTATGGCACAACAGCAAACTGAGGTGTAAAAAATTGTGTAATAACCTAGGAGTAGATTATTCAATTAAATAAATAACCCCTTAAGAAAAGTGTTGAACCAGGAGGTGAGATTTATATTCTAAATATGGCCCCACCCTTCACATATTATAATAATATTTGAATTATTATATTATAGAAATTCATGATTCTAAATAAATAGAATGCACTCCAAAGTGATAATTTTGAGTAATCTACATATGGATTCCAGAGAAGCAGCTATTGCCTGATATGTAACTACTCTTGGAATCATTTTGATAATTGTGGCATGTTCTCTGGAACCTTCTCAATGGTATTGAATCTTAATCCTTTAAGAAAGAGTTCAGCACATTTTTTATATTAAAGGCCAAAATATCTTTGACTTTGCAAGCGTGTGGGGATGACTCACTTCTGCAATTATAGTAGAAAAAGCAGCCAGAGACAATATGCAAATGAATGGACATGTTTGTGCTATTTCAATTTAATATACAAAAACAGTCAAAGGGCCAGATTTAGTTTAAGGGTGTAGTTTCTTTTTTAAAGGTGAATTTATGTTTGTTATTATTGTTTTGGGAAGAAGAAGCCAAATCATTCCCAGAAAGGTAAAGACCCCTGTGAATAAAAGAAAAAATATAAAGAGAGAAATGGCTATAAAATATTACTGTTGATTTCCTGTGTGGCTCAAAAACAGTCTTTCAAGCCAATACTAATAGAAGACTTCCCGAAGAACTATTGGAATAAGTGCATTGATCTCTCAAGGTGATCAGTTTCAGGAAGAAAATGTTTGTTTTTTGATATATAATGGCTTGTAGTGTGCATAATCTAAAGTCAAGAGCTTTGATTTCAAAATTTAAAATTTGAGAATGCGTTTCGTTTATTGCATGTGTGTTGAAAACTTTTCACAACTTGATATTTTTACTATTCATCATAGAGATGTTGAAAGTAATTAATTGTGTGAGTTGCAGTTTACAGAGCATACATATAAAATAATGAAGTTCAGAGGTAATACTTTAATGTTTCTTGTGATATTTGCATATCTCATGATGGAAGCATTAGCTAAAATGCCATTAGTGTTTACAGGAATCTTGTCTTCTGATCTTCCAAAAGGGATATTTCTTCTAGTTTCAGTTGTTAAGTTGTAGATGCTTCTTTATGGCTCAGTCAATGATGGTCTAATCGGTTCATGAGAGCGAATTTTCTTGCTGTAATGACTAAACTATCGTGGCAGAGAGTGATATGGTTGTAAATTTTTTCTCAAGGGAACAAACAATTTTCTGTTGCTCCAGTGATCCAAGAAATGCCAGATTTTATTAGGCAGTTCATGTGCTTCTGTTTTATGCTGACTAGAAAGATTATGTCTCCACCTTTCTCTTTCCAGGGACAGAAGCAGCTGTGAATCCAACTGTTGGAATGCACCTTCAAACTCAAAATCCTGAATTGTATCATGTTTCATGTTTTGGTGCTTTAGGCCCCCCACCTCCATATGAAAAAATTCTAAAATCAAGCCGATTTTAGATCTGGATGATTAATTGAAACTCTTAGAAAAATTTTTAATTCCAAAACATAAAATTTAAGAACAGTTCTTTCATTTAGTGGGAATTCCTAGAGATCAATTAATGTAGTCTAAAAAAGGACAAATAGACAAAAGCATGAATGTAGGAAAAGAATTTGGAGCATGGAGATGTTACCATAGTAAATGAGTGGACTCTTGGTATGTCACTGCTGCTTTATACTTTTATGCTCCTAATCAAGTTTCTCCATGTGCTTAACTCAAGGAGTGGCTTCCATTAAGTTTAGGATTCCGCTGTCGTACACATCACATTTTTTTCTGCCTCAGTCTCTATTTTAATTTGACCTCTTCCCTAGTATGGAGTCAATAAAAATATAATTTAACAGTGACCCAAATAGAGATGCATACATGTCCAGACCCAGAACCAGAAAGAGAATATTTGAATTAGGGTGAGGGGAGAGAGTAGGAAGAAGGGCCATTTGAAGTTGAAGGGTGAAGGATGCATGAAGAGGAAGACTAAAGGTTCAAGGAGTTGTGTGTCACTGCCTGAGAAGGGAGAAAGTGTTGACTGAAGCTGAAGGAGACTACTTAAGCTGTGAGGCGCATGTAATCCCACAGTGTGGAGGAGCAGAGGCTCCCATGTTATATGAGTGAGTGCAGACTCCAGAGCCCAAGACCGGTGCCTCAAGACTTGGCATTTCTTAGCAAACCATGGTAAGAACGCTTGGCATAGATATCAGTATTCCCATTGAGGACTCTAACTACAGAAGTAGCAGTGAGATATCATCAAGTGACATTTTTGCAATGGCCATGAGCAAGGGGTCCAGGAAAAGACATCCATGGCAGACGCCATATGGTCTTTGTTGAACAGAACGGTTGACATCTTCACTTGTTAGTCTAATATACCTTTCAAATTTAACTTTGACCAAGCTTATCTCCTAGTTTCTTCCCAAACGTGTTTATCCAAACCTTCCCTATCTTAATTGATGGTAATAGCAAGCTTCCAGGTGCTCAGACCAAATAACTTGAGCCTTGACTTTTCCGTTTATGTGACTGCCTACATCAGGAAATGCCTTAGCTTGGCTCTACCTTCAGAATAGTTCTAGATCCTAAACATTTCTTACTCCATCTCTGGTGTGAGCCATGTACTGTCAGTTCTTCCCTGGATTACTGTAATAGCATCTAAACGGGTCTGTTTGCTCCCAGCTTTGCCCTCCTATATTCTATTTCCAGCACAGTAACCAGAGTAGGATTCTTATAGCATAAGGAGGATCATGTTCCTTAACTAAACTCCAATGACAGCATACCTCACTCAGAAAACGACAAAAGTCCTTGACACATGGCCCTAGAGGATCCATATGCCTCTCAGTTCTCCTTTCTAGTGACTCTCGCCCTTACTCATTTGCTCCAGGAACGCTGCCCTCAAACCTGCCAGGCTGTACCCAACCCCCATCTGACCTTTCCGGCCTTAGCGCTTTCTGTTCCTTTTGCCTGCAAAACCCTTCTCCCGGATATCAACATTGCTTCACGCCTTCACCTCCTGTAAGTCTTTGTTTGAAAGTCACTTTTTCAGTGAGGTCTGCCCTGATTACCCTACTTTAAATTGCAATTTCTCCCAACCCTAGCACTTTCACCTCCTTGTCTCAGGTACACTACTCCTTTTCCCATAACATCTATTGCCTTCTACTTATCATCTTCTACTATACTGCATAGTAAAATTCGATTTATAATCTGCTGTCAGCCTTCCCTTGCTAGAACATAAATCCATGAAGGGAGGGATCTTTGTATTATACACTAATTTATATCCCAAGCCCCTAAAGCAGCCTGGCACTTAGTATGTATTCAAATAATTTTATAAGTAAAGCTCACTAGTTCTCAAAATTTCCAAAAATAACTGGATGGGAATTTGATGGGAATGAAGCCTTACAAAAGTGACTGTGACTAAGAGCCAGGGACAGCTGACAATGCTGTATAACTTTAAGTTATACATGGTAGATTGAACATATCCATTCTCTTCTTAAACCCACGAAGATTATAGTAAAGGAGTAAAAGGGCTTTTTAATTCACAAGAACAAAGAGAGTGGCAAGAAGATGATGAAGAAAATTAGCAACAAGTTTTAGTACATGGAAAGATGTCTAAGATAGATAAAGATAGATAAATCATAACTGACTGGGGTTTCAAGTTTCTCTGCTATGCTAAAGGACTCATGGAAAGAAACTGAGAATAATCAAGCAAATTCCTGCT